ATATATATATATATATATATATATATATATATATATATACAATCTTTTAAACATAAAAAATATTTAAAAGAGACTATGCTGTCGAAATATATTTGGCAACTCGAAAGAAAAAAATACTAATTTTAAATTAAACTGATCTATTCTAAAAACTGCGCCTGCCTATAATAACATTTCCAAAAAATGTACACAATGTTTAAAAGAAAAATTTGAAATTATTACTCATTTAGATCAAGAAAATTTACTGCATAAAAAATATAAATTAATGTCTAAATGCAGGCATGAAAATAAGTTTTTAAAAAAAAATTATAAACCAGTCTAAAATTATCCTTATTCTAAAAAATTCTTTTCATATATTTTTAATTATCTAATGTAGCTAATGCAACTTCCGTGATGCAAAATACTACAATTATTACATAGTTAGTTATAACGATTCCCAACTTCTTGTGAAATAATTTTTTTATAATTTGAACTTTTTGATGTTTAGACATTCTTTCTGATGAACCTACTGATGGAGAAACATGCTGTTGAAGACAACTAAAAATTAGAAAAGTATATTTATTTATATATATATATTTATGTACATATATATATATATAAATATATATATATATATATATATATATACTTTATATATGCTTTACTTTATATATAAGTAAAGTATATATAAATATATACTTTACTTTTCTTATTACTTTCTGACATAATAGGTTCCAAATATTTTCTTACATAGTATTGACTAGTAATGGTGTCTCCCTTTTTTGACACAGCCTAAAGAAACAACTCCCGGTATTTTAAAGTTAATGTAAAACATTTTTTTTTGCTTAAACAATTTGCATTTTACTATAATTGTTGGACTTTTGCCTTCACCAACTAAACTAGCCCTTTCTGATTTGTGTCCAGTTGTCTTATATAAACCGCAACTCATTTTCGTAATAACTAAACCTCTGTAACAACTATTCAAAGGCTAATATTTAGGTATAACGTTTACTGAAATAGTATGTCAATGATAAAAACATACTTCTGCAGACTTCCTTTTGATCAATCGGACAGTGATCATTGTTATCAATATTCATAATGAAGTTAATAGTTTCTGGCAACATTATTTCTCGCTTTTTTTTAATATATACATATATATATATATATATATATATATATATATTATTATTATTATTATTATTATATTCAGTAGTGATACGTCTATTTTTCACAAGATTAATTACTGCATAATAATTGAGCTTTTGTCTCAATAATTCAATTTTACATGTGTTTACTTCTATTTTTAATATAATGTATAAGAAACTTTTAGTGCAAAATTCAGTATCAAAAAGTGAACATTTGCTTATCAAGAGTTAAAAAATATATCAAAGCAAAGAGTTGAGTCAGGTTTCAGAAGAAGAATGTAGTTTATCTGATGGTTCTGATAGAGAAAATTCAGAACCAGAATTGTTAGAATTAGGTTTTGAAATAGAAATGCCTGCATTGATTGATGCTCTTTTACTGTAGAATGGTCAATGGTAACTAATAATCAAAGTTCAGATTATCGCTATATTGCAATAAAAAGTTATAATGCTTTTTTATGGATGGCTTACTTGACCAGGGCTACAGACTATTCATTGACAACTGGTTTTCTTATTATGAGCTTTCATCAGTTTCATTGCTAATTCTACAGATACCATAAGAACAGTTTGCAAATACCAAAAAGGTTTGCTTACTTCTATTAAAGAAAAGTTGAGAATAAATGAATATATAGTTTTGTACAAAGAATATAACGAATATAAGTATTTTTGTGTTATTTTGAGCTATCTATAAAAAAGTCCTCAACATTCCTGGAGTTTCAATTTTTTAATCTGGTGGAACCCTGAAAAATGTATATACCACGTCAACTTGCATTTTTGATGCAACTAAAAATGTTTTTTGAGCTTGTAGAAAAAAGCAGGTTTCTTTAGCTTGATGATTACAATCAAAATATTGATGATTGCAATCAAAATATGCCTCTAGCATTAACAAAAGTGACCAAATAGTGGCATTGTATGAAATTGAAAGAAATTGGGTGAAGCAGTGGTACACAATAGTATTTACTCATATAACTATGCTTGGAGTTCCCAAACTTGTGACCAGAACAGGTGCAGCAATGGCGGATGCCACAGTTTCTAGCTTAACAGAATGGGGAGTAAAAAAAGAAATTGTTGGAATGTGCTTCGACACTACATTGAGTAACACCGGCTGTCATTCTGGAGCATGTACATTAATTAAAAAATTATTAGAGAAAAATCTATTGCACTTAGCATGCCATCATCATATGGATGAAATTATTGTGTCAGATGTATTCAAGTGTCTTTTTGGCCCATCTAGTGGACCAAATATTTTGTTATTCAATCGGTTCAAAAACAACTAGAACTATATTGATCAAAATGAATTTGAATGTCTTGATGAAAAATTGTTCAGTGGTCCAAACAATATTTATTTAAATGATCTCAAAGATGCGGCTGTTCGTTTCGTAAAAAATTGTTTACAAACTGTTAGCCAACTAAGAGATGGTTATAGGGAATTTTTGGAACTGAAAATAATGTTTCTTGGCAATATCCCTCCTAGAAGACAACATTTGAATGTGCCAGGTGCATTTCATCACGCACGGTGGATGGTTAAGGTCATCTTCTGTATAAAAATGTACATGTTCTGAAAGCAATTCAAGGTTACTACAAAGGAAGAGAAATCCCTGTTGGAGTTCAATCTGTTTTCAACTCTTCTGTACATGTCTGCATGGTTTTCTAGTCCATTTGCTTCCAAAGCACCTGCTAATGATTTGAAATTAATGAAGAAATTTGAATCGTACAAAATAATTAACAAAAAAGTTGGAGAGAAGGCAACGGCATGGTACTTGAGCAAAGAACTCATTGGATTGAGCTTCTTTTCAAGTAATGTATCACATAAAACAAAACAAAAAATGATTGAAAGATTGAATAATGAACCACAAAAAGACAACCTAAAAAGATTGGGAAATGTTAATGACATTCATTTGAAGTCGATTGAAGATTTTGTAACATCAAAAACATTAGCATTCTTTCGACTTTTGGGAATTGATGAACAGGCTTTGTTTGACATTGATCCAGTTAGCTGGGACACAGATGACATTTACAAAAAGGCTAAAGACAGAGTGAATAGAATGAGAGTTGTTAATGACTGTGCTGAAAGAGGTGTAGCTTTAATCACACAGTATAATAAAATACTGACCAAGAGCGAGAAGCAAAGACAATTTCTTCTGCACATTGTGCAACAACACAGAGAACAATTCAAAACAGCAAAAAAATCGTTACATTTTGAGGGACATCAGGAGAGTACTCCAATAAATTGACTTTCTCAGGTTTAATATATTTTAGTCATAGACTTTCAGTACTGTTATTAATTTCAAATTTGTTAATTAGTATGATTAAATTAGTTTGATTAATATGTATTGTTAATGCAAAATATGTAGCCTGGCAGTGATATGATTCTTTTAAAAAAAGTTCATGAAACCAGTTTCCGTGTAAAATTTCAAACCTATTGAGCCACCCCTAAATATCATTTTAAAAAGCTGAAGATTTTTATTCAATTTTTTTATGTAAATTTATAACTTTATTTTTATGCAAAAAAATCACTCTGGATTAGTAGCAAACAACCCTTTACAAATACTTGACCAATGCTTAGAGAAGGTGTGTGGTATGTTACAAACACAAAATTCGAAAAGATTTAAGATATGAACATGTAGAAAGTGATGTAGAGCTTAGTGCAGCTTTGTGATTTGCCAGTTATCAAACAAAGAGTGAATATTAGTGAATATATTATAAAAAATTTTTGTTTTTATAGTATAATTATATATTCTTAAACTTAAATACTAATATTTTGTATTTTTTAATAGTGTTGTAAATAGTTTTCTGAATCACCTAAATATTGTTTTTTTATCTATTTCGATTACAGATTTATTTTCTTAGTTATTTCCAATTTTTTTAATTTTTTATTATTTTTTTTATATTTTGATGTTTCTTGATTAACAGGATAGATTTAAGTTCTTTTATGACTTTAGGTTAAAAGTATACTTGTATTGGATCCATTAAAAATTTTTGTTGTGGTTGTTGTTATGGTTCTTGTTGTAAAAAAGACTGATGATGAAACTGAAAATAGTGAAGTTGAGAAGCAAGGTATTTAACAAAAAAAATTAATTCTTTAACTTGCCCTGCAATTGCTTGTACCTCAAATGATTGCAACCAACTTGAAATCAACCAACTCCAAATTTTTCAGTTTTCAGTGTAATAATATATTGTTTACATATTTTTGTTTAGAACCTCAATAAATTTTGTTCTGTTAATAATTATTTAATAAAAATCTAACATTTTTTGATTGTACCTTTTCTTTTAATTTCTAATAATTTATTACATAATTATATGAGTACAGTGGCCTTTACAAAGTTTTCACTAAAAATATAATTTTTTATGACCATTTATTAAATTGTTTATTTTATTATAGTAATATAATAACTCGGAAAAAACTGTTCTGTATAAGAAGTATTACTGTAAATAACTTGACCAAAGTAGTATTAGATTTAATGTACTTTTTTTTTTAGATAAAAGAGTAGTGAAAAAATATAACTTATTTTTTTAAATAAATGAATTTTAAATAATGAAACTATTTTGATGTGAGCTTGATTTTAATTTCACTTATTTGGTTATCAATAATAGTTTGTACGAGTTTTTTTTTTTCATTAAAAGGTAATCAGCACTTCATAATACCTTATAATACTTCAAAAGGAAAACCCTAGTAGACATATTTTGTTTTATAAAGTTGTCAACACCTACATGTATGCTAAGATATGATATACTTTTAATAAAAATTGATGAGAAATATATTAAGAACTGTACTATAGATAGTTAGCAAGTAACAAATATATTACCTGCTTTACTTGGTCCTTGGTTAAAAGCACTTTTTACATATTCTGTTATAATTCATGAAAAAATAATAATTTAAAAAATAAGTAATTATGGAAATAAGCTGTTGATTTTGGCATTGGACGTGGAAAAAAAAGCCGAAAAAGATAGGTTTTTATTTGAAAATTAGACAGGCTTGTGGACATCTTATTTTTCAAATGTGAACTACTTTTTTCATCAGAGTACAAATGCGGTTCAGAATGTATGAACTTTTATTCTCAGAGGACTAAAAGTTAATAGCTTCGAAACTTTTCATGTTGGTGGTGCAGATAGGAGATTATTGAAAATAATCAAAATAAAACAACAATGATAGCTAGCAATGAAATAAAAAGAAAGACTGGTAACTATTTAAGTAGAAAACTTTATGCAGGATTATGTACACCATGAAACTGTTGAAACAATTTATGTAAACAGCTGCTCTTCAACATTTAAAAATGGCAGTGGACAGAATATAGTTCAAGTTAATAATCAAACTTAATATAAATTTTCTCTGAATCAAACATGTTCAATTTATAATACAATGATTATAAAAGTTTTTAACTTGGTTGACAACAGCACTTGATTTTTGCAGAATTTGGGTCTCCCATGACCTTACTGTTGAAAACATGGAGAATCTAAGAATAATTTTGAATTTTATTGTTAGTGTTTATTTACATTCCTGGTTTATTACTTAAGTTAATTAAGTTGGGTTGGGAGATCAAAAAGTCTTTAGTCAACTAGAACTTCTTGAAACTCAGAGCAAAAGTGTTTTAGATGTTGTTATGCCAAAAATCAGGTGATCATTGTGGTATGCACCTTCTGAATAATTTGAAAATCACACTTCGAAGCCAAAATGTAGTAGAAAGAAAAGAGGTAGTTGAAAACAGATACTTGAAATTTCTTATAAATTCTTAAGGAGTTACAAGAGATGAGGTAACTCAAGTTAGAGATAGTAGTCTCAGATTAAGAAAATCATTAGAAGTAAATCCTAATACTAATCAATTATCAGACCTCACGTCATGAAACTTAAGTTTGAGCCTCCACTTATCTGTACTCTTACTTCTGCCACAATTTGAAGATTTTTCTAAACTATTCTATTGAAGTTCAGTTGGTTAACAAATGTGTCAAATTCAGAACTGAAGCTTCAAGCCATCTTAACACACATGAGCAAAGAGAATCATATATATGTGCTCAGCTAGCTATTAGATATTTAATGCCAAGAAATAGAAGCAAATAATACATGACAACCTTTGAAAAAACATAGTGATAGTTGTTAAGTAAATAGTAGCCAAAGACTTGAAAAATGTTGAAATCGCTTAAAACTTAGACTTCACTCTTACTTTTTCACTTTTACCAGGAAGGAAGTAGAAAGGGGGGAGGGAAGGCAAGCTCTTTTTTAATAAGTAATGGTATGGTTGCAGAGAGGAAGGAGTCATAGAAAGGGTACAGACATCAAGGACAAAAATCAGTGATTATACTGCATACATACTTTATATATGCCAACCAGCCTCTCTTAAAATTTCTTATCTATTCATAAAAAGTCTCTCATAAGAAGCCTCGTATATTTTGCTGGCCTGCAACAAGAAAAGTAAAACAGTTGTAAAAATGGTCTGTGGAAGTAAGGGAAAGAAATTTCTTTTTCAAAATTTTTTGAATTTTACAAACTCTCACACAACCATCATATAAAAGGAAAGTTTATATTCATTTTGCCATACATCAATAAACTTGTATTAAAAAATAAAATATGAATGCTATTTTATTATTACCTAAAGCTTGTTGCGTATCTTTTAAATATTTATTAAACTATGTTAATATAATGTTAATTTTTTCCAGGTAAATATTATAGAAATAGTAAAAATGTCTAAAATAACTTACTTTGATAATGACCGAATCAATCTTGAAAATCATCCATCATGGAGTTGGCTTAAGAGAGCTGATGATAAAATAAAGGGTATGTATAATGTTTGTGGAAGGACATTATAATATGGGTATAATGGCAGTCAAATGTCATGAAAAAAATGCAAAGCATTTAAAAAAAATATCTTTAAAAAGCCAACCAACAGTATTTGATTATTTTACTAACAAGTCACAGAAATATACAGTATCACAAGCAACTTGTTTCATCATCAAATTTAATAGCTTTTAAATAACTAGCATTAGCGTCTGTGTAGTCAAATCTTCTCAATTAATGCGAATCCTTTCAACAATTTCTTCCAGCACAACAGTACCACCCTTCTCTTTATTTATGGCTATATATGGTTTAACACGTTCAATACTTAACTATTCTATAGCTAAAAAATGACTATTAGGAAAACTAAAGTAGCCTATGACATCACACATGGTCTTGCCCCATGTTCCGTGATCTTGTTTAAAAAAAAGGTTTTTAGCTCTACACACATAGTTGTACATTTTGATGAGTCTTTAAACAAAACTGATCAAAAAGATTCAATGGATATTTGCATTCATTATTGGGATGTTATTCGTAACCATGTGACTACAAGACACTTTTCATCAGTGTTTCTTGGTCATACAACTGCAAATGATTTGTAAAATGGTTTTAAATGAAAATCTTTAAGCCAAAATTTTAGAAATTTTTATGGATGGACCTAATGTGAATTTGAAATATTTTAAAATTCTAAATAATTGGAAAAAAGTTTGAAACATATATTCTTGAAGTGGGATCCTGTGGCCTGCATGTTTTATATGGTGCATTTCAAGCAGGTCATAAAAAGGTGAAATGGAGTGTATAAAATTATAAATTTATATATATATATATATATATAAATTTATGTATATATATAAATTTATGTATTATATATTTATAAATATGTATATATATATATATATATATATATATATATATATATATATATATATATATATATATATATATATATATATATACATACATATATGCATAAATATATACCCATTAAGCACGTGTATACATATATGTATAAATATATACCCAGCAGTACTCAGACGTTTTTATAAACTTTTTCATGATTGTCCTGCTTGTTGGGCAGGTTATCAAACAATTCGTGGAAGTGATAGGTTTTCTCTAAAATTTTGATCAACAAGGTGGTTTGAAAATATGTCAAAGAGCTTTAGATATTTATGATAACGTGTTGTTGTATGTCACGCAGTTTAAACTACCAAATAGTTATATGGTAAACATTGTTACTGATGCTGTCAATAATCTTGTGATGCCTGCTTAAATCGTTTTTTTCGATATTTGGCATAATTTGTAGGGCCTTCTTACGACTTTTTCAGTCAGATTCTCCATTAGCACCATTCTTATATAAAGAACTTGAAAAGGTTACGAGATCTCTTATGCCAAACTTTATTTAAAGAAAGTGTATTCGAGGTAGTAAAATCTATTTTATAATCTGTTAAAAAGTGTAAACATGTCCTATTCACACTACAAAGATTCATTAAAACGAAAAAGAGAAAAAAAGTTGTGAGAAAAACAAGACTGTGTTGATATAAAATTATCTCTGAAGAAAATTAAGGAATTAAATACTAATAAAACAAAGCTAAATCAACATCATCACCAAGATATAGTGAGATTGAACTAGAATTAAAAATGCTATCACCAAAATGAAATAAACTAATTCACTTGAAAAATTATCTTTATAGTTCAGTAATTATATTTATAAATTTTGAAGCTCAATCTGCTCAAGTGTTTGAATTTATTTCCATTTGAAAATACTTGTAAAGTACCTCCTATAAAAATAATATAGAAAAGTTTAAAACATAAATTATTATCGTGCAACTTATATCATGTAAGAATATAAAAAAAATATATATATATATATACAATATATAACATATCTTTTATATTATTTTTTACTTCGTAATAGCGTAAATATTAAACTAGGAAGCATTTACAAACAAGAGTTAAAAAATTCTAAAACTTACAACTAAAAATAGAATTTCCTGACTTTATTCTGACTAAAGTCAGGAAAAAGTCAGGAAATTTAACTGTACAAAGTAGCTGGCCACCCTGCCTTTTGTCAATTTCCCACTTTTCCTATGGGTATACATGGAATACATTGTTTATCATTTTATAATAGATTAAAAAAAGATTATCAAAACTCATCTAAAAAAAAAATTTCAATGTCTAATGCCTAAAACAAGCAAAACTGTAAAATATTTGAAAGTTTATCAAGCTAGCAAGGAATTTAGTTTTAAAAGTTTCTCGTTTTTAATTAACTGAAACACTAGATTTTTTACAGATCTCTTTTGCCTCAATCCACTAAATTAGTGTTTTCAGGCACTTCACAATTTCTATAAGGGATTTAATCTCGACCTAATTACCCTGTTTCATTCTTTACACCTCTCTAACTTTGTTATTTAATTTTAAATATGACTCATATTTTAGAGACACCTTTTTTTACAGCAACTTGCCCTATTAATCTTTGAGCATCTCGGGTATGCACTAAAATATCAATTTAATTGGCTTCGTTAACTTTCACCTTGTCTTTTGAAAAAATAAACCATATAGTTTATAGCTTATTGTAAAAAAGATATTTAAATAAAAACTAATTATAACAATCTTTAATTTAGGTAAAAGATTAGCTTTTGATGAAAACTGGCTCCACAAGCCAAAAGATAAATTAAAAATTGATAGTGATTGCATTACAATGCAGCCTCTTGATTATTCTACAGTAAAAAAGATGAGAGAGACAAGGCTAAAGCACAAGAAGATGCACGCTGTAGTTACAGAACTTTTTTTGCACATTATCTATGCATGCTTGGTGTTCTTTATAGGTTATTTTTCACGTAGTAGTCTCACTTTCTATCAAACTCGCAATGTTCAAGAACTTTTCAATTTGAAATTAAGATTGCCAGCAAATCCAAACATCCCATTGTTTCAAAGCAAAGTATTTAATCAGGTTTGTCTGTTACTTTTAAAAGGAAACTTTAAAAGTAATAGTGTATTTAAAAATCTAGGCTTATAAAAAAAATATGTTTTTAATTGTATTTTTTAGGTTAAATGAGCATAGCTATATTTTTATCAAATACATTTTTTTTTTTTTTCTTTTCGATTTTTTTTATTCTCCTTATTGTTTTGATAATTTATTGTTGTCTAAAGTTTTTTTATTACATCAAAAATGTGCAAATAGATTCAATCCTCACAAGATTTTTGGCATTGGGTAGAAGAATTTTTTTTACCTCAAGTTTTTCCTGAACCTTGGTATAACTTGAGTGATTTTTACACCAATACAGATATGAAAGATTTTCCTGGAAAACTGTTTTTAAATGATCTTACCTCAAAAATTGTGAATGGAATACGAATTAGACAAGTCCGCATAAAGCCAAGTAAGAGTTACTCATAGTATTTTTTATTATTCATAAAAATTATAATATTTGACTGGTGTGCATTGTTATGAAAATCATTTTATTAATTATTGTTTAGTGATCTGTTTTAAATCATAAAAGCTTTTTAGACAATCTTTAGTTTATTTTTATCACACAACTGCATACAAAGGTATTTTAATATTGTTTAGAGGTGCTTAGTAAGGCTATTCTATATAATTCTTTCCCCCGATTTTTGTTGAACAATTTTCTTTTTACTGATATTTAAACTGTGTTTTATTTTACTTTCTTCCTTTTGTTTTACCAAGTTTTGAAGTAGCATTGATACTATTTTTATCATTTTTGAATAAAAAGTTACTTTTAAATGATCTCATTAACTTTTTTAAAAATTTATAAAAAAAATTAAAGGAGTTCTTAAAATATAACTTTGGGTTATATAGTATTATATTTTATTAGGGGTTATATAATATTATATTTTATTTGGGTTATATAATATTATAATTTATTAATAATTATATATATAACTTTAACCAGAAACCCAAAAATTAAAAAACAAATTTTTACAAAAAGTTTGATTTATATTTATTAGACCAACTGATATATTAAAAAAAAATCACCTTAAAAGAAAAAGCATTTTTTTTCTCTTTAGACTCTTGTACAAAAGCTGACTCAATTTCTAAGTTCATTGCTATAAACTGTTTGTCTCCATATAAAACTGCATTAGAGGAAACAAGAGATTTTGATTTGAATTGGACTATTCCAAAACATTATAACTCTACAATTAATACTTTAACAATGCCATGGAGGTATCAAACCTGGAAAGAACTTGATGGCTATCCATATACAGCTAGTTCAGACACTTACTATGGCGGAGGTTATGTCATAGAAATATTTTCTAAATGGAAAAATCAGGTTATACTTGCTCAAGCCAAAAGTCATAGGTGGATTGATAGACAAACGCGAGCTATATTAATTGAGTTTGCTTTGTTTAATGCTGCTTCTAAAAATTTCAACATGGTTACAATGGCCTTAGAGTTTCTGGCTTCTGGTGGAGTTGTTCCTAGCTTTACTGTTCTGACGTTCAATTTGTATGGCTCAGTGACTGGATCAAAGGTTTTTTTGGGTTTACATATTGTTTTAATCTTGATGGTTATATTATTTACTATTCGTGAATCTCGCTTTTTATATCGAACTGGTTGTAAATACTTTGTAGAGTTTTGGAATTTAGTGGAAGTTGCATTGATAATATTTTGTATTATTGCTGTAGGACTTTTTTTTTATAAAGGTATTTTTTCTTAATTTTGTATTTTACATGTTTTTAAATTCTTATATTGGCTATAAAAATATGGCTAAAAGATGTGCATTTTTCACTTGTGGGTTTTTATTACTTTATATTTTTTGTTGGAATATTTTTAAAATACCCAAATACTACAATTTAACAATATAATCCTACAATTTAATGATAAAAGACATATTGGTAAAGAAATGGATTTTATAAAACTGCATAATAACTTTAAGCTTATTGCAATAAAATTTGTTTAAAAATTTCAGATAATTTTGAGCAAAATTTTCCGGAAATTTTAAACTGTAAATACAGCACTTAGATTGGTTTATGTTTTATTCTTGACAGTTTAAATTAAGAAAGAAAAAAATTAATAAAATAATTTCAAATTTTTGTACATTGTTCATATTTAAAAGTTTATATTTATTAATTGATTTGTTTAATGAATGGTGCCCGTTAATGTGCACATATAGTACTGATTTATTTAGCTGCTGATGTACAAATTTTGATTTAGGGTTTTGATTTGAGCTAACCGTCTATTAATTTTTAAGAAATATTTTTTAAGTTTTTGAATATTGTGTGTACTTTTTTAAATTTAATATTAAATATGATTTGAGAAAAAATAAAGTAAAATAAAATGTTAATTGTTGATTTATTTATGATTTATTTAAAAACTTTGGCATATAAATTCGCCAAATGGTCACACACAAGCAGTTAACGCCTGAGGGAAGAAAATAAGTACATTAGAATAAAGGAGAATTACTTTTTTAACAAAGCATTTTTTGACATTTGTCAAGAGTATTTAAAAATAAATAAGACAGACAATGCACCTAACAGTACTAACAATAATAATAAACAATAAATTGTTTTACAATCACTAATCTAAACGAAGATATACAAAAAATATATCACCAAACAAAAAAATAAAACAAAAAGTTGAATACAAAATAAAAAGTATGCATACTACAATGTAAGGCCTCAGAATGGAAAAAAAAGATTAATGCTGATGTGTAAACATAATTTGTGTATTGATTAAATAATAAACATCTCCTCAGAGTTGCGTCTATTATTACTGGCATTTTGATAAGAATCAGCACTTATAACAAGTTTATCTTGTCAGAGAAACATCATCGCCACTTATGCTTTACCCCGCAACTTATGCCTAATCCATACTGCAGTAAAAAAGGACTCACTACAAATGGCCAAAGCAACATTACGACGATGTGATAATGGTTGGAGGTTGGCTGCATGAGCAGGTCCAACTATGTTTACAATGCGATTTTGCACCTTGTCAAAATGGAAAAGGGCATCATTAGAAGATCCGCCCCAGATATGGCAACAGTATTCCATATAAGGCCGTATTTGAGATTTATAGAGATAGAGAATAGAATTCGAAGTAAGAAAGCTTCGAGCTTGATATAGAGATGCAACCTTAGCAGATGCTAATTTTGCAACATATTTGATATATCGTTTCCAATAAAGATCGGAAGAAAAAGTTAATTGTATAAGATGAAGAGTAAATGACTCCTCGAGAACATTATTGTTCATAAATATAGGAAGATCTAAAATATTGTGATAACGATTGGCTTTTTATCGTGACAAGAATAAATGGTAGTATCATCAGCAAACAATGCCACCTTAGATGTGAGAATATCTGGAAGTTCGTTAATGTAAGTTTAAACAAGTATACGGCCAAGGATAGAACCTTAAGGAACCCCTGAGGTTACAGAATATGAAGAACAGTGCTGTCCATTGAGGACAACTTTTATACTATAATTGGAAAAAAAAGATTCAATCATTTTAAAGATGTTACCAGTTACACCGTAATAGCTTATGGAGAAGCGTAAAAGCTTATGGAGAAGACCAGCTTGCCAAACTTTATCAAAAGCTTTAGAAATGTCAAGAGCGATGGCCTTAACCCCTCCACTTATCTAATGCTTGATAAATCATCTATCTAATGCTATCATTATCTAATGCTTGATAAAATCTATCGGATATTACTGTTAGCAAATCAGCTATAGAACGAAAAGATTGAAACCCATATTGATGGTCAGAAAGTAAGTTATTATATTCTAGATGAGAGGTTAAGTGTTAGTTAATTAAAGATTCAAAAACCTTGCTTATGTCAGGAAGAAGTATGAACTAAAGTATGCAAACAGAAAATGCTAATAAATTTCCCCCTAAGACCATTTAAACCAAATAGGTACTTCCAGCATAAACAAACCAAAAACAATCAAAATGCAATATACCCTATTAAAAACCCTTTTAAAATTAAATAAAACACAATAGAGTCTTCAAAAAACTCTAACGCTGTCATGAATACTTCATTTGAATTTTGTTAACCAATCTAAAGTGTAAGAAAATGAACAATCGCACAACTTAAAATCATCACTAAAAATCAAGTAATATATTGTAGCAAAAAATAGAAAAATCTTGCCTGCAAAAATGTCAAGATTTAAACATCAGGCCTTGTTACGAGATTTCGCTGCGTAGCGAAAACGCGCAACGCATTTCTAAGTTACTCAACTCATCAAATATATTTTGCATCGTTAGAAGTTATATTGCGTCACTCGCGTCTTTTCAAGTACCGCATTGTAATTAAAGTTATTTTATTAACGCGTTAAAAATCATACAGTTTGTTTTTTTCTCACTATAACAAAAGTTACAAATAAAATCTAAGTTCTTATTTAAAAAATCATTTTTATTATTTTTTTCAAATATAACCTAAATTTTATTTTGAAAAAAATATTTTTTTCATGAAACGTAAAATAATGTTTGTTTATGATTTTTATGTTTATTTTCTTATGATTTTGGTTTTTGGTTATTTTATTAACTGTTAATAAATTTTTTCTTATTTAATATGTGAACTCATTTTAATGTTTTTAAACAAGAAAGAGTTTTTTTTTGTTGTTTATCAATTACCGATAACATATTCGTGATCATAATTTATATTCATAAATTAAACGAACGTCGTTAAAACTTTACGTTATTGAATTAACAATAAACAAAATATCTTATTAATAAAATATTTACATCAAAATGAATCGTGCATTTTTTAAACTATTATGACTAAAAATAAATTTTATATTTAAAAAAATTTATATATTTAATTCCTTAAGATAAAACTTAAAACACTTAATTTTTTTTAACTAATTTTTATCAACAACAAAAAAATTATTTAACAAACTGTTTCTTTAACAAAAAATCTATTAGTTTACAATTGCGGTTAAATGCTTTTACTTACGACTTTATTTCTTCTGAATTAACGTCACGTTAACGACAATCAAAAGATAATTTAAATATATAAAAAAACGAATAGATATAACGAAAAAAGATATAAGTTTTTGCGTAGCGCAAAACTGCTGAACGCGTAGGCAAATCGCCTTTTCGCAAGCAAAATGCGAGCTGCGTAACGCTTCTTAACAAGGCCTGAAACATGTAGTGAAGAATATAAGAAATTCTCTGAATAATAATAAAAGACGAAAATTGTGCGTGTGAAAATTTAAACAAAGCTGAGTAATGAATGTAAGATAATATCACATAAAAGGTCCTTGATAATAGTAATAATATGATAATCAGCGGATAAATATTATACTAAAAAATATTGTAATAAGACTAACTAAATACTGTAATAAGACCAGAAATTAATGTATTATATTAATGTTTTTTTTTTTATTTTATCGATTTACAAGCGTTATAAATATTTACATTTTGTATATTTAATTATTCATTATTCTACTTTATTTTACATAAAAATAAATTGATATTTCAAGATTATTTGGCCAAAGTTTTATTGCAACGGCTTCCAGATAAAAAACCACAAGTGTTTATCAACTTCCTATTTGCTTCTTACTGTGACAGGGTTTATGTCTGCATTGTTTCACTTATTGTGTTCTTCGTGACTTTAAAGTTCCTTAAACTTTTGCAGTTCAATCATCATGTTTTAATGATATCTTATACATTAAAAGCTGCTTGGTATCCTTTATCAATGTTTGGAATGGTGTTCTTTATCATTTTGTGTTCATTTGTTACTTTTTCTAATATTGCGTTTGGTAAAGTTCTGATTTTTTTTTATTTTTGATTTATTTCTAATAAAAAAAGTAAAATGTAAATGAATGAGTTAATCAATTAATTTCTTTTGATGATTCGGTATAAATTTATTGTAAATATATTATTAGGTATTGTATTAACAGTTTTTTTTTATTCAACTGTGTTTTTGGTCATTTTACTTTTTAATCAAATTTTATATCTAATTATATATTTTTTATATTTATTATTTTTATAATTGTTATATTTATACATGCCAAGGTTTGCAGCAATTTTTGTTACCAGAAAAATTTGAAGTCCCATTTTCTATAAAAGACAAATTATTTTTTTTTAATGATAATTGGTTGCCATACCCTTTGCAGTGATAACAACCGCACAACCGTGTGACATTAAATCAATTGATTAGTACAAGTAGGTCAAGTAGGTAATATATATGCTTTCAAACTAGAAATTCTTGCGTTTCCAAGAACTATTTTTAAGAATTATTAGAACTATTAGGTATATGCCCTATTATTTTGAAACTCTCACATTTAAAGCTAAGAACCAACAGCTTAGATGTATGTTTGTGGTTATTAACTTGCTGAAATATCCAAATCTGTAGCATTGTTTCTTCAGCATAATAATAAATTGTTTTTACGATGCCTTTGAACATTCTCACTTCCAACATATTTTATAGTTGCAAACGTTTTGTAGCGAATGTCATTTCTTGTGCCAATATGTGTTGTCTATCATCACTTCCAAATAGGTTCAATTTAGATCTGAGAAAACTACTTTTTTTAAAACTTTGATTGTCCAATTTAGATGCTCTTTATTTTATTGTAATCGACTTTCTTACTCTTTTTACTGATCAAAGGTTTTTAATGCCAATTGCCATCAAAGCCTTCGATGGTGCCCAGGTCAAAAATAAAGTACTACACCCTTATTTCAAACCGAAAACTTATTTTAAAATTTAAAGTTTTACGCAGTAATTATTTCTTTCTGATACAGCACATTGTATTTCTGTGTTACTAATAATTCTCTGGATTGAGAATCTGTTCATCAATCAACACTGACATACTCAAAATATTAGTTTTAAAACTAATAAACAAAAATTCAATAAACAAAATCTTTTAGAAAGATAAATAAGACACTTTAAAATAAACTTTTCAAGCTTTTCTGACTGCCCAAATTTTTATGACGTTGCAAAGTGACCCTGGGCCATGGTCGAATAAAAAGAATTTTTTATATTCTTGAGTTTACTAAACAATAGCTCACCCTCAGCAACTGACACACAATCAGTGTTGATAATCTAGAGCATAACGCAAGTGTATGGAAAATGGAGTTCAAGTTTCTTCTTGAAAGTTCAATTGAGTAGCTGCAGTGAATTTCTGCGCTTTGAAAGTTGTTTTGAGTTTGTTTTGAGGATATGATTGAAACTTTTTCAATGATACCCTCTTTGTTATCGCATCTCTTAGATTAAACCGTGCAAGATTGCAAGCTTTATTTTGAAAGATCATCATCATCCAAACAGATGAATAAAAATATATTTCAAACCATCATGTTTGCCTCAATTATTGAATCCATCTGCTGGGTCAGACTTTCTAAACCAAAACAAAAAAACCTTTACTTTGAGTTTTTTTGTTAGGCTTTTGTGGAAATGGGCTATGTTTGATGCCTTATTATGAAAACACTTCAATTTATGCTTACTTTAAGTAGCGAGTTCAGTTTTAAATCCTGGCGGTCCAGTTACAGCTACAGCTTCTTGGAAAATTTGAAACCAAGTGCTCCTAATCCATTTAAGTTTTTTATTTATCTTTCAGCAGCTGTCTAATTAAATGTACAGCTCTATGGTTAGATCCAGGTTTTCCATGGCATGTTAAAGAGCTGCCAACATTTATTCTTAAATTAGCAACCACAAAAATAACAATTTAAAACAAAAATTATAATACTTTTTGAATTTTTTTTTACTCAAAGAAGATACTATACTCTTATCACAGAGTACTTCATTTCTAACCGATCTCAAGAGATCAGTTAGAAATATGGTGCTCATAGATGGCTTCAAAGCTAGAGTTATCTTGCTTCTGAGGCAAGGGCGCTACCAACATATATATATAAAAATTACATAAAATTTTCAAAGACCTTTTAAATTATCAACATACTTATTTAACCTTTAACTATCAACTGTAAAACAAAATAAAACTTACTATTTATCAATCAACTTATTTTACCAAATACTTACTTAATCAGCACTAATCCTAACCGTAAACTTAAAGAACCACTTTAGCCAATTTCATTAATGCATTGAATGGAAATTTCTACATTTCCAACAACAATTTAAGCAATAATTTGTTTTTTTTTCTTTTGGTTTAAAATCAACGTTCGGTCAACTTTAAACCCGATGCAAAAACTCAAATTCTTGTCAACTCGCCGGGTCCTGGTTAAGACATGGCCGCTTATTTGCCTGAAAAATCCAACACTATAATTATCTTTTTTGCTTCAACAGTCAAATACTACTTGAAAAAGTAGTGCTTTTATCATGAAATTGTCAAAAATGTTTTGTTCGCTTCAACCTATTTAACAACTGTTTACCCATTGCACTACTTAACAAATTTGTTAGTGCTATTAGTGTCGACTGCTTCAAAGCAAAATTTATTCAGCTACCATTATATTTACCACAATGCTTTTTCTTCCATGCAATCAGCACGAGCTAGCATGGCTAACTGTTCATGAGCTTAAGGAATACACCCGGTTCCGTCTAACTCAACTACAACAAAATCCTTTTTTATTTTATTTTGTAGAAATAGTTTATAATAAAATATTGTCATGGATTTTAAGATTTTACTTTTTTTTTTCATATGCTGTTTTATTTTGAATACTAAAGCTTCAATCTTAAATATAAAAACTAAGTAGTATTCACATTGTCACTCATTTAAATATTTCCTATTTATTGTAAAAAAAAAAAAAAAATTTGGGTCGCTAGGCGCCCGTTTAAGCTTGGCGCCTGGATCAATTTGCCCCCTTCGCCTCTCGAAGGTCCTGATTACAATTATGGTCAAAACGTCTTACATCATATAGTTTTTGTGTTACAGTCCAATGACTAACATTAGCTAGGTTTTTATCATAAAATTTCCGTGTAAAATTGGCAGCAGTTATCTCTATATCTGCATTTGACTTGCGTGTAATGATATGTTCTAATTTTTTAAATATTTTTCTTGGTTATCCAATACGCAGGCGATCTTTTTAGCACATGTAAATATAACAATTATATTAATGAATACATTCACAAATGAAAATGATGTTCTTTAACTATAATATATTTATATATTATAGTTATATATATATATATATATATATATATATATATATATATATATATATATATATATATATATATATATATATATATATATATATATATATATATATAAATACAAATGTATATATATATATATGCTTAAAAAACTCAAATCTTATAAAAATATTTAAACTATAATTGAACTAAAAGTGTTTATCAGGCTGTGACCATCTAAAGCTTTTTGGTTTATTGTTCGTTTAAAATAAATTGTATTAGGTGCATTAATGGGTGAGTACAAGACTTACAACGAAGCAATAGTTTCAACAGTTTCATTATTATTGGGAAAATTCAGTTTTATTCAATATGAACGTGCTAACATTGTTCTTGGCCCAATATTTTTTTTTGGTTTCAATGTTGTTACAATTTGGATCATAATGAACATTTTCATATCCATTTTAAATGATGCTTTTAGCATGGTTCGTGCAAATGCTGAGTTGCAAAATAATGCTTATGAGATAGTTGATTTTATATTGGAACGCATTAGAGGTATTTTTTTGATTTTATAATTTATTTTAACAGAAATTATTTATATAGTTTTTTCTACTATGTTTCATATGAGAATAAAAACAGTTATAAAATTTTTGAGCTTTTCAGCCATTACATATTATTACATTAGGTTGGTTTAAACATAGACAAAGAAAACCACAGCCGCAGACACAAGTTCAGTCAGAAAGAAAATTTCACTCAAAAAGTAAAATTATACAAGTTGCGGAATATGATCATAAACCTTTCATAGAAAACGACTCTATCAGAAAAGGTAAAATAATGATTTAGATCGCAATTTAAAGAAAAGGATTTCTTTACTTTATTTTAATACCTATATTCGCTATAGCTTGTTTTATTTATTTATTTTTTGTTTTTGTTTTTTTGTTTTTTTTTTATGTTTTAGTATTTTGTCACTTTGAAAAACTCCAGTAATTTTAAAAAAACTTGTTTATTTTATAAATCTATTCATTAATGTTAAATTTGTCATGAATAGTAATGTAAAGTTTTAAATTCAATATTTTGAATAATGTCATTACTTTTAAATATATTATTAATATTATTTACTTTTAGTGGAATATAAAAACATACATGCT